AAAAGTGGAGCCAATAGGGTAAAACTTGAGACGCCATTGAATTCAGAAGGCTCCAATTAAGTAAGAGCAACTATCAGAACATTTGTCGAAAAAAGTTGCTTTGATACCACTCTCGAAATATTCTGACTAAAAGAAGGAGCATCATTAAAAGTAGTAAATCAAGGTTTTTACACACTTCTAGAGACAAATTTTTTGAAGCATTTTACAGGTATATGTAATTTTATAAGGACTAGCAGTTATAGAAAGATTTAGTTCGTTACGACGTATTTTCCAAATGTGCCTTTAATTAAAGTGTTTTTGGAATAAAAATTACGCTCAAGATCGCAGAATATTTTATCTTTCAAAGTTGGTTTATTCTGAAAGCACAGCTCTTGCTCAGGTATCAAATTATTCGTAATTGTTTGTAGTATACAATACATACTTAAAAAGTTCTTAAACTTAAATGCTTCAAAAACTATACGCAATAAACCGAAAATTGTGAAATGTGGAACTACAGACTTTGAGTTACTTGCCATTTCGTTATTTTTTAATGCACAATTTTCTTACCTACTACATTTAAAGTACTAATTGCACATACAATTTCAAATCAGTATATGGTGTGCTTCAAAAGTTATGACATAATTAATTTTTCACCTCTTAAAAATTACATAAAAAATTCACTTGTTTTCATTATTATTTTTTATCTAAACACCTATAATTCAAAAGTTATGCAGCAAATTGATCCAAATTTTTGAGGCTTCAAGTATACGTCAATGAATTATATCCAAAAGCAACCAGCTTGATATAGTTTCCAACAGTGAAAATAAAGCTAAACAACACCAGGGTTACCTGTTTTTTAAATTTGCCCATATATGTACATATGTGCAATCTGCATGGTACATTTATATCTTTAAACTTTAAGAAACTAGTTTTAATAAAATTTTCGCTTACAACGTATTCGGGGCGACCATTCAATTATACCAGATCACGTAAGAAGAATAGTAGCCATTTGTAATCGCAGTTAGGAAAAAAGAAGGGCTATTTTGACAGTTAGCTGTTCACAAGATGTCGTAAGTGTACGTATGTATGTCGTAAAGTTTTTAAAGGCTCTTACATACATATGAGTTATGTAAACTCATAAAAAATTCCTCTAATTTATTCTTAAATCTGCACATGAGGATATCATGAAGTTTTTACTCAGGAGTAGAGCTGTAAAACTATCGATGTTACTATCGATAGAATCGAATGATTCTATGTGTGTACAGATAAGGTAAAGAATAATTTAACACAACGACATGATTTATAAAAGAATTTGCATAATATAAGTGATTATTCATGTCTTGAACAATTACGCGGTTTTCCTCGTTTTCCCTTCGTGGTTTACTTCTTTTTTCTGTCAAAAACAAACATGGCGCGAAATTTCGATAGCCAGAAAAAAATGGTTTCTTTCTTTCCTTCTTACGTGGTCTTTTGCCTTTCGTTCATGTACATAGTTTCAAAAAAAATCTTGCTGAATTTCGAAATAATGACATTTGCATTTCGTTTTGACTCCATATCTAATAAATACTCAAAATCGCATTTAACATTCATGTTCATATTATATTCAACAATTTTAATAAGCTTGAGACCGTTTTCAATTAAAATTTTTTGTGGTAAAACAACTGTAATATACATATGTACATATGGTAGAAGTTATATGTAGCTGTTATTTCGGAGATCACCACATCTCCTTATCAGACTTCTTCATCGCGGTCATTGGGATATGAACCAGCGACTGCGGCTTTGAAATCCAGCGTCATGTTAACTGCGTTTGCTTTTTCCACTTTTTCATTTGTCAACCCCACTTCAACAACTTGGTCGTGTGGTTTTTGTTTTTTAAGTTAAGTTCTATTTTTTAAATTTTACTTAAAGGTGTGTTCGGCCTTAAGTTTTTTTCTAATAATAATCCCAGTGAACTCGATGAAGAAGTCTGATGAGATGATGTGGTGATCTCCGAAACAGCAGCCATAACTTCTACTATAATTAAATTACTGTTTTTTTCACAAAATTTTCATAAAATTGTCATGAAGCTGAATAAAATTTTTGTATATAAATTGTTATTAGTCCAAAAAACATGTATGTTCATACTTAGTTAATAAATTGCGAACAAATAGAAAGGCTAAAAGAATTTAAGAAAAAACTAAGAAAAAGGCTGAAGGCTAAAAGGGAATTTTTGGAGCTGACCCAAATAAAAAAGTTAAATCTAGCCGGAATAATGCTAAAATGGCAAAACTACTCTCAACGCTTTTATTTAGGTTTGTCTTTGACTGAAAGAGTGTCTCAATTCAACCAAAGCAGGCTTTGCGATGATAATGCAAAATTACTCGTTATTTCATGTTTAATTTTGTGAAAAAATTGTAGTGAATGAGCGTTAAGTCATACATATGTATATTATAACGCAGTTAAACCTCTTTGATTCCATTAACCAGGAATATCGGTTAACCGAGATGTTGAATGATTAGTGAAAGTGTTTCACTGATAATAACGCCTAATAGAGATATTATAAATATTAGGTATTTATTATCCGCGAAACTGTTCTTTTATTTAAAGTGCCTACTTCCATTAACCGAGATTTACCTATATTGTACGTGATGCATGTTTTAGTAGAAATCGAATATTCCGCTCTGTAATGAAATTAGTTCCGTAGTTTTTATTTAATTTGATCGGCAAAGACATTTTAGGTGTCAAGAAAAACTAAAATGCCATCGTCAAGAACCAATTCGACGTAAAGAGCAAGAAAAGTCCTTCCAATGAAAGAGTGTAATAATGGCTATCGCCCACACAAAACATCCGCGAAACTGTTATCTGAAAACGAAAAACTATGAGTGCTAGATATATATGTATACGGTGACCATATTTATGAGAGCCGAATACGGGACAAAAACTAATTGTGCAAATATTTTCCACAACCGTTTACATATCTTAAAGCCTTCTTCAATGATCCTAGATGTATTAGCCAGTGTTGCCAGAACTTTTTGGGCCGACCGGCTAGATTGGCAAAAAAAGCGGCTAAAAACGGCTAAAATGTTTAAGTGAAATTTCACATAGACTCTGGCAAAAAACGGCTAAAATATTTTAGTGAAAATTCACATGCTTTATTTAAATAAATCGCAAGAAACGAAAGACTAGTTAACACCATTAATTTATATCGAGCGTATATTCCTCATCATCAAATGAATCACTATTGTATATATCACCTGAATTCATTAATTTTAAGAGATCGTCATCTACAGTAAAATTATGGCAGCATTTTTCTTCACGTTTTAAACCGTATCTTATATATAAAATAGCGTTTAACGTTTTAACGCACATTGGATTTCTTTGCTTAGTTTTTATTATATTCATTGAACTAAATATTCGCTCTACTTCTGCATTACTTATAGGCAAAACAAGAAAACTAAAAACTAGGTTGCAAAGGTCAGCAAAAGGGTTTTTTCCTAGGGCATTTCGAAATTGATAAACTTCGGCCCAAAATTTTACAGTTGAGTCTAAATTACTCCAGGTATGTAACGTTAACCGTTGCCATTGCATCTCTATGGATGTTATTTCGTCGGCATTATATTTGTGTTTTTGTTGCTGTAGTTGAACAAATACTTTTGGTTTAATTACTCTTAATGCATTTCCAACCGAAAAAAGTCAATTTTTTTTTAGTGTGGCAATATTTGTAGGGAGGCGTTGGCGTAATTCCTTTATTATAGTGATAATAAAATAGCGACCATTTTCTCGAATTATTTTCTCGGCTTCGTGGTCAAAAGCGTTTGTGCTTACTTTTGTTTTTAAGTACTCTTCAAAACTGTGATAAAACTGAGGAAATGGAGCAAGGTATGATTCCAACGGGGAGCATATAGGATCAAATGTGTCCGCGCTAATAACCACTAGGGAGCATAGATGCGAAAGTAAAACATTGAGTTCATTAAAAATCTTCATTGGGTCTGCATTATTGCTTTCGAACAACTTGTTTACTTTTTGCACCTGAAAATTAGGCAAATAGTAAAATCGGCTAAAAACCATGAACGAAAGACACAAGATCACGCGGAAAGGAAAGAACGAAAAAAGTTATTTTCTAGCTGCCGAAATCTCGACGCCATCTTTGTTGTAAGAAGTAAACAACGAAGAGAACGGAGAAAACCGCGAAATTGTTGATCGCATGAAAAATCATTTTTATTATGCAAATTCTTCTAAAAATCATGCCGTTGTGTTAAATTATTCTTTATCTTATGTGTACACACGTTGTCACAAGCGAAAATGAAGAAAATTGCAGTGAAAAGCCACCACCAAATTGTAAACAACGAAGAAATGTAAACAAACGGCTAATGTCAAAATCGTTCAACTTTTTTCCTTAATGCGATTCTAACGGGCTACTCTCCTGCCCGCGTGATCTTGTCTTTTTGGTTCATGGCTAAAAACGGCTAACTTTTTTTACAAACCGGCTAACAAATCGGCTGCCGGCTAGATCGAATTTTCTCCGGCTAGTTGCTATCAAAACCGGCTAAATCTAGCCGGAAAACGGCTAAAATGGCAACGCTGGTATTAGCCCTGAAACAGTATCCCTTTAATAACATCACAAATTTGTAGGACAATTTTCTCCAGATTTTACCCCGTAAAATTTGTAAAAAAAAAGTCGTTAAATTTTAATATAATAAAGTGCAACTTTAAGTCGCTAAGGCTTACCTTTTATTTTTTTGCAATTTTTTTGTTGGCGATGTTATGCATTTTGTTCATACAAAGTATGTATATGCGACCATTTTTTTGAAAGAGAAGCAAATGAACAGCACTTTCCACTTGCACTTTATTATACTGAATTTTAATGAGTTACAAAACTGCAAACCAAATTTTTGTCTAAAGATTCTTGTTGAAAATTACTTGTTTACGAGCAATCCCGATAATAGAGGCTTAACTGTGTGATTAATCTGCCATACAAGTATACGAGTACATACATATTTAAATTCAGAGTATTTTCACTCTATTTTCTTTATTCGTAGGTCAAGGTATGGTTTCAAAATCGACGAATGAAGCATAAACGCCAAACTCTATCCAAGACCGACGATGAAGACAACAAAGACAGTCTAAAAGGTGATGATGATCAGTGTGATAGTAGTAAGTGCGTTATTCTCAATTCAACTTTGGGATAGTTCGTTTTCATTTTGTATACATACGTATGTATATATGTACATAAGCTCCCTGTGAAAATTTTAGTTGGCGCTTACATACTCTCGAAAAATTGTTGTTTAAATTTACGCATATTAAGACAGGTAACCAGTTTCCTCTTCTAACGTGTGCAAATTTAAGTTTTAATAAAATTGAACACTGCCTGTTTACCTTTACATACCAAATTTTTCGAGCAGAGGAAAATTACACATTAAATGTTTAAAATTGATTAAATATGCGGCACTTAATGTTTGTCATTAGGAAAAATTTATTTTTTACTTTCAAAAAGCTTGCAATTTCAAACATTTCATGTGTATATTTTAAATATCTCATCTTCATAAATCAATTCTGGAACATCTCCTGAGCATATACTTACACCAATTCTGGTTGAAAAATAAACACGGTTAAAAATTTCGGTTTTAATTTTAAACTTTTTGGACTACATATATGAACAAACTTAGTTTCAAATACAAACCTTTCAAGTTTAAAAAAATAATTAAAAATTTTCTATTTCAGTTTGGATTTTAAACAAAATTTTCTGTATATGAAACCTTGAAACTAGAATTAAAATATTTTGGTTTGATGTTTAAACAAATAGGGCCTGTATTTGAAACCACGAAGTTTTTGGTTTTAATTTTAAACCACCCATAGAAAACATAATTTTCTCGGCTGCTTGGACTAAAACTTAAACCAGAATATATTAAAAATTGCTTAAAACTATTGACTGGTCTAAAAAGTAGACCATAAAATATTAAAAAAGGCAGCAGTCCCAGCACGGTTTAAAAATTAAACCCAAATTTTAAACCGTGTAGTTTTACATGTACATTTTAAAGTGTGCATACGTATGTATCTACAGTTCCGAAAGTATATATTTGGAAGAAATATTTTAGCATTTTTTGGCTATTTTTCTTTCCATTATTTATTGTTTACTATTTTTTATGACAGTGTAGCTCGTTATCTAACAAAAATTTGTGTAAGCAAAGTCCGACAAAGTTTCATCAAAATTTTTAGCTTTTTAATTAGATTTCTTAGAAACATTCTGAGTAGTCAGTTTTGTAGTCAATTCAATTTTAGTACAACAAAGTAAAAATTTTAGGTAGCTAGGACTTACCGTTGTTTTTTGGCAATTTTTTGTGGAAGGTGTTGCTCCTTTTCTCCATGCAAAAAAAATATTCAAACATACTTTGCATTGAAGAAAATGCGCTAACAAAAAAATCCCAAAAATCAACGGTAAGTCATAGCTGCTTCAAACTTGGACTTTTTAACAGTAAAATTTAATAGCCCGCAAAACTGCATAGAATTCTAAAAAATCTGACTAAAAAGTTTGAAATTTTGATCAGCATTTTTTGAAATTCGTTAAATTTGTATAAATGTTCCACAAAGTTTTTCTTTTAGATGGTAAGCTATATTTCCTTAAAAAAAATAATAAAAATATTTTAAATAAAGAAAAGTAGCCAAAACTTCCCAAAATGCCTTTTCCCTATTTACATTCTCGCCACCGTACATCTTGCACGAAATCCCAGCAAAAACTTTTCTCTTTTGGTAAGCGTTTATTTTTGGTATTGACGGAGTAACGCATTACAATAAGCCTCAATACGCTTATTCGTTTTCCCATTGCATTACATGTAATGCAGTGGGTAAGAAATTTTCCATTTATTAGATTACCACCAATGCCATGCCCAGGCTAAATGCATTAGCATTCTGTAAACTAGAAGGTAAGTTGTGAATCTCGACAAAATGCTGAGCCAATCGAGATCCACTACTTACCTTCTAGTTTACAGAATGCATTATTTTAACGTGGGCATGTCATTGCCCAATAAACACAACAAATTCGCCTCGAATTCGAGACGAGCTCGTTTGCTCTGATAGAACTATCAAGGCGATACTTCGCGGCGATAGATCGGCGAATTCGAATTCGTAGGAGAGTCCCCTATCTTTAGCAAATCGAGTATTACTGGTTTTTCGAATCGTTGGCGATTCGATAAATTTTTTTCTTCGAATCTCTGGCGATTCGAGAATTTTTAATTTTTCGAGAATTATTAATTTTTTCTCTCGAGATTTCAGCTCGCTGGTGGTTTGAGATTTTAATTTTTTTCGACCCAAGTTTTATAGGATTTAAAAAACTTGCTATCTGAAATTAATTATATAATTTAAATAAACAAAAGGTAAAAAATGTGCGAAAATTATGAGTTATTAATCAAGTTATTAAAAATGTGAATCCGTATTTAATTTTTAGCAACATAATTAAAACGTAATTTTTGTTATACATGTTAGATTTGTCCGGCACCATGTTTCTTGTAATTTAATTTTTTTTTGTCGCTCTGCGCTATATTGGAAGAATTTCTTGGATACTTCATCCACCAAATTCACAGAAATATCTTTGAATGTTAATTGGAATGCAGCTGAAATATAGGGGGAGCTCACGTTGAGTAGCATTTTAGGTGTAAAGTTGTTACGTAGCAATCTACCACATGTTTTGTTGCTCTTCCAACAACAAAATGCGTGCTAGATTGCTACGTAGCAACTTTACACCTAAAATGCTACGGAAAGTGAGTACCGCTATAATAAACTGGAGTTAAAATTAATAATTTGTTCGCTTAAGACCTTAAGCAAAGGTGCCCTTATACTCAGAAAAAATTCTGCTAAATATATTTCTCTCAAGACATTATTTGGTAATAGTCACCAAATCTTGTTTTGAGAAAAATTTATTTAGGTGACTTACCTGAGTGTATGTGCACTCATAAATTATTTTCTTGATTGTGCTTTGAAGACGACGTAAGAAAAAAATCTTTCGAGGAAACTCATTTACTCGAGTTCGCCTCTAATCCGAAACGATGTCGCCCTCGTTGTTGTGTTTATTGGGTGGAGGTAATCTAATAAATATAAAATCTTTTACCCGTTGCATTACATGTAATACTGTAAGCGTCTTAAGGCATCTTGTAATGCGTTACTCCATGGATACAAGAATCGAAGTGCTTACCAAAGAAGCAACGGTTTTGCTAGGATGTATTGGAGTCAGCTCTACAAATGTACATACGAGCCATAAGTACATGCCAATACAATGCGAATCCATACATAAGTGCAAATATAATCTTCTACTTGGCAGATTTAACCCTTAAAAGACTCATAACATCCGTGAAATCGTCGAAACGAGAAAGTGTTATATTAAACTTTTACATTTTCTGCAGCTAGTATTTCAACAACTTACAAGAAAATAGCTGAAACAAAAAATCGTATCAATCATTGTCAAACGGCATTACGTCTTGTCTTTTCCGTTCATTGACAACCTAGTGTTGTGTCCCCTAATCACAACTCCATCAGAAAAAAATACATACATACTATGTAGTAAGATATGTATGTATGTACGAATTTCTTTACTAACGGAAAATATTATTTCTAAAAGAGGTATGAAGTTTGCGGTTATCAGGGGCTACTGTCTCAAGATTTTTTAATTAGGTTCACATCTGTAAAAAGTAAGCGAGAAATATCGTGTCGCAAATAGCTACTCTGGATTCTGAAATGGCGATTTCAATAACCGAATATCCTAGTCATACGACTAGATATGTATGTATATGTGCAAATCTAAAAAACAGGTAACCTTTGTGTTGCTTATTTAGTTTTATTTTCATTGTTGTAAACTATATCAATCTGGTTGCTTTTTGATGTAATTCATAGACGTACATACATATACTTGAAACCTCAAAAAAATGTTGAATAATTTGTTGCATAACTTTTGAGTTATAGATGTTTTAATTAAACAAGAAGTTTTTAAGCAAAAAACAAAACCCCCCCCTTCATTTCTCATATAAAAATTTAAGATTATCTTTAATTTCTTCTCGATCAAATTATCGGATCTAAACAAAATTAGTATGGGACCACTCTTGAGGTACCACCTTTCCGTTGAAAAAAGAATTATCGAAATCGGTTAACGTGGTCAAATGTCATGGATAACTAGATTTGAAACTCTTTTTCTCGTGAGAGCGCTGTCAAAGTGTGTATTTTTTGGAGAAACTTTTGATTAAACACAATGAACAAAAGTTGCAATATTCTTCATATTTTTTTTATATTTTACTGTTTATATTGCCAGGAAAATTGCGTTTAGTTACAAATACTGTTTTATAGTCATATTAAAAAATTCGGGAAGAAGAAATCCACTGAATTCAATGTGATGCATTTTCCACACATCTAGTGGTAGCTCGCCACTTCGCGTGTCAGATATTTATCTGCTCAGGGATTGGCAGTGCTGCCAAGTACGAAAACGAGTTCCTGGGCGCGCTCTCAGAAAAAATGAGAGAGTTTCATACCTAGTTATCCATGCAAATGTTGTGCGGTAACATACATAAACAAAAAATAAAATAAAATATTCCGACGAACTGATAACCTTCTCCGTTTTGGGAAGTCGGTTAAAATATATTAAAAACAAGTGAATTTTTTATGAAATTTTTAAGAGGTGAAAAATTAATTATGTCATAACTTTTGAAGCACACCATATACTGGTTTGAGGTTTTATCTGTACACTTCATATGCAGTTGGTAACTAAAGTGTGGTTTAAAAAATAACTAAATGGCAAGTAACGAAAGACGTGAAACTGTACTTTTCACAATTTTAAAAATTTTCGGTTTATCGCGTATAATTTTTGAAGCATTTAATTTTTATAACTTTTTAAGTATGTATTGTATTCTACAAACAATAACGAATAATTTAATACCTTAGCAAGAGGTGTGCTTTCAGAATAAACCAACTTTTAAAGATAAAATATTCTGAGATTCTGAGCGTAATTTTTATTCCAAAAACATCTTAATTTAAAGCACAATAAAATACGTCGTAAACCTATTTCGGTAATTTTAAGGAATAATTAAGGTAACACTAAAAACCGTCATGTGCAAAATTTTAGTAAAATAACTTCAAAACTGAGGGAGTTATTTATAAGATAGTTAAAATTTAATCAA